ACATCAAAGTTCTGCCCTAGCCAGTTTGGCTCACTGGATAGAGCGTCAGCTCTGCGGACTGAAGAGTCCCAGGTTCGATTCCAGTCAAGGGCATGTACCTTGGTTGCGGGCACATACCCAATGGGGAGTGTGCAGGAGGCAGCTGATCGATGTTTCTCTGTCATCGATGTTTCTAACTCTCTATCCCTCTCCCTTCCTCTGTAAAAAATCAATAAAATATATACTTTTTAAAAAATCAAAGTTCTTACAATGTGACAGAGAGTCTTTGCCCTTTTAAGGAGTGGAATAATGAAGGACATGGAGGACCTGAACATAATTACTGATGTAGGACTGATCAAATTGAGTATCCCTGCTCCTGTATTTAGATTTTTAAGGTTGAATATATTCAAATTGCTTTTAGACTTCTTAAAAGATTCTACTCTAAATTCTATTCCTGTTTCTGAGAGGATTTCTATGCCAAATAAACATTTTAAAGAATGTGACAAATCCATGCCCTTCCCACCATGTCACAAGGGTACATCTGTCCCATGGTTAGGGACAATGGCTCTGTCATCATTGATTGACGACCATGGAGACAGAGCCATCTTTTTAAAAATGAAAATTGCTTACTAGAAGCTCTATCGTATGTCCTTGACATTCAGAGTATTCCTTTCTCTCATCAGCTGATGACAGTGATATAGACAGGCAGGTGGCTACGTGTTTCCAGGGTCTGAGTTGTGGGTAGGAAGCAACAAAAGCTTGCTTGAGGCCCTGTTCTGAGTTGCTTGGGGATACCTGTTTCTTACTGTTGCTGGGATACTGGAGCCACCAGGAAGCCTAGAACAAAATGCGAGCGTTTGTGTGTTCTGGCAGTGGGACTGTTGAGGAGGAAGAATGATGTCTCCCGAGACTCTAGAAAAGACTTAAGCTATTGAAAAGCCGGAAAGACCTGTATTTTATCATAAAGCCTTGTGACCACGTGTGCCTTGAATTCTCTGCATACTTTCCTCACCAGGCTTAGTGGCACAGAGGTTATAAATAAGAGTGTAGTGGGATAACTTAGTGACAGCGATACCAGCTAATATCAAGTACTCACTCTGTACCAGGCTCTATTCTGTTCTATAGTTAACTAGAGGCCCAGTGCATGGAATTTGTGCACGGGTAGGGTCCCTAGGCCTGGCTGGTGATCAGGGCCGATCAGGGCCTTCCTTCCCCCAGCTGCCCGGCCTTCCTTCGTTCCTCGCCACCCCCTGGTGGTCAGCACACGTCACAGCGAGCGGTCAGACTCCTGAGGGGACAATTTGCATATTAGCCTTTTATTACATAGGCTAACTCCTTTCATTCTTACAAAAACCCTGTGAGATAGGCAGAGTTGTGCCTCATTCTACAGACTGGCTCAGTGGTTGAGTGTCGACCTATGAACCAGGAGGTCACAGTTTGATTTCCAGTCAGGGCACATGCCTGGGTGTGGCCTTGATCCACAGTGAGGGTGTGCAGGAGGCAGCTGATCACTGATTCTCTCTCATCGTCATTGATGTTTCTATCTCTCTCTCCCCCTACCCCTCTCTGAAATCAATAAAAAATATATTTGAAAAAAAAATGCAAGTATATTCATGTCCCTCCCCTTACCTGATCACCATACGCCTTGCCCCCTCCCCCAAAAAAATTAATGATTCTCATATTTTCACTACATTCAAGGTGGGGCCAAGGAAATGTTTTAACAAGCTCTCCAAATGACACCCTTAACAAATTTGGGAACAGGATAAAAACCCAAGCCCCTTGGGGTGGGGGGAAGTTGTCACACATTATCCTCTTACACTGGTCCTTGCTGGCTTCTCTAGTTTCATCTTTTACCATTCTCAGCTTCTCACCGACAAATTAATTGAAATAGTCTTTGCCTGGGAATTCAGGTCAGGTCTGGACTGCATTGAAAGCCTACGCATGCATCCTGTCCTCCCCAAGGTGATTCATGGAGGTGGCCCCTTCCGCTTCTTACAGGATTTGTGTTGAAATTATTGGTCTTCCCCACCCTTCTGCGAGGTGCTCTGAGGTCTCATGCATTATTGAGTTATGGTGCCTGTTGCTTTACCGTGTGCACAGTAAACATGCAACCATTCATTGAAGTGGATTCGTGGCAGATCCAAGATGTCTCTGGCCATGGGAATCTTGCTTCTGTAACTGATGTCTTGTCTTTCCCATTTCAGCTCCTGGTGGGCCCATGTGGAGATGGGGCCCCCAGATCCCATCCTGGGAGTCACAGAAGCCTTTAAAAGAGACACCAACAGCAAAAAGATGAACCTGGGCGTCGGTGCCTACCGGGACGATAATGGAAAGCCTTACGTGCTCCCCAGTATCCGGAAGGTGAGCGTGCCGTCCATCTCCTGCCTGGCTGGGATAAGTACACTGACGGGCGCTCCCAGGGAGCGGCAGAAAGACCGCGGGACGGGGAGCCAGGAGACGCAGGTGCAGGTTCTGGCACTAACTGTTCCCATCAGGTTGTCTGAGCTTCAGTCCCCTTGGCTATAAGAGAGAGCCATTGGAAGTGCATGGTCTTTCCTAAGGTTGCATTTCTGTGATTGTCTGTGAAAGAGCCATAATGTCATATGTAATTCTTTTTTTTTTTTTAATTATATTTTATTGATTTTTTACAGAGAGGAAGGGAGAGGGATAGAGAGTTAGAAACATCGATGAGAGAGAAACATCGATCAGCTGCCTCCTGCACACCCCCTACTGGGGATGTGCCCGCAACCAAGGTACATGCCCTTGACCGGAATCGAACCTGGGACCCTTGAGTCCGCAGGTCGGTGCTCTATCCACTGACCCAAACCGGTTAGGGCTCATATGTAATTCTGAGAGCGCACAAAAGGACCAAGAATTTCAATGCTGTCTCACGCATAGAATTAGGCCTTCATGGATGGGCATTACTCTTATTTTCCATTTCTCTCATTTTAATTGCCTTAATAAAGCCCACCTTCTCACACAGACATACTCTGTCCTTTTTTCCTATTGAACTATAGAATACTTTTCTTTATTTTTGTTGCATATTTATTAGTAGTTTTACTATTGGTTATTATAGTTATAATTTAACTAATCCTCTGAGAACAATTCTTTTTTAAGAAAGTATGTTGCCCTAACCGGTTTGGCTCAGTGGATAGAGCGTTGGCCTGCGGACTGAAGGGTCCCAGGTTCGATTCCGGTCAAGGGCATGTACCTTGGTTGCGGGCACATCCCCAGTAGGGGATGTGCAGGAGGCAGCTGATCGATGTTTCTAACTCTCTATCCCTCTCCCTTCTTCTCTATAAAAAAATCAATAAAATATATTTAAAAAAAAAAAAAAGAAAGTATGTCTTCCTTTGCATCTGTCCCTCCTCCATTGAAATATGAATGTGCTGCTTTGCCACTTCCAAAGCGGATGGTGATGTGTCTGTCATTCCTCCGTACTGCAGAGCTAGGCACCATGAGTGGCAGTTCAGAATACTCTGGGGTAAGAGTATTCTCTCATCACCTGAACTGTTACACCATGCAGCAGACTGGCTCAGGCCCTCATGAGCCACTGCGGTGATAGAGCGGGGGCTGAATGAACCACTGAAGAAAAATTTCTGAGTACATAGGAGTGCACATTAGGTATCATCTCTACAAGTCTCTTAGTAGCAAAAAGGACTCAAGAAGCAGGGTGTGCTTTTGGTCTCAAATCAGTTTAGAATATCCAGCAAATGTAGCTGTTGTTGTAAGCTGGAACCCCACCACACACTTGTGTACATTAGCTCATCGGCTCTTCACCTCAACCATATGGGGTGTAGGAACAGCTGTTCCCTCATTCAACAGGTGAGGAAACGGGCTCAGAAAGATTAATAATTTGCCCAGGTCAACACAGCTAGTAAGTTCTTAGACTGGCATATATCTTGAAATACTTTCTTTTTATGTATTTTGTTTGATTTTTATTATTTTACTAGAGGCCCGGTACACGAAATCCATGCACTTGGGATGGGGTCCCTCAGAGGCAGGAGAAGCTCCCACCACTGCTGCTGCGCTTGCCAGCCGTGAGCCCTGCTTGCCAGCCGTGAGCCCGGCTTCTGCACTGACCAGGGGGCAGCTCCTGTGTTGAGCGTCTGCCCCCTGGTGGTCAGTGTGCGTCATAGCGATCGGTCATTCCACCGTTCAGTCGATTTGCATATTAGCCTTTTATTACATAGAATATCTGTTTTAAGTGTTGCTCTTAAATCTTGTTATGGTGTATTCCAAGAATGCCATTTTAGGTTAAATGGTAACCAAGAGATACTATATACCCATCCACATAAAACTGAACTTTAAAATTAATTTAAATATTTCTGTTCTGCAATATAATATATAAAGTATTCTACTTATCCTTCTTCTGGGACAATATCTCCAAATAAAAAAATAAAACTTTACCTCCAAAATTTAAGTAGAAAACATTTAATACAGGCTGGGGCAAAAGTTAGGTTTACAGTTGTGAGTACACAAAACAGTTTATTCTTATATTATTATTTATTAATTATTGTACTATTTTCTATATGAACAAACTATAAACCAACTTTTGCCCCACCTGTCTTAATCAAGGTAATTCCAGGTGAAAAGAGCTAAACAGATGCTTTTTCTCTTGTCTAGGCAGAGGCCCAGATTGCTGCAAAAAATCTGGACAAGGAATACCTGCCCATCGGGGGACTGGCTGAGTTTTGTAAGGCGTCTGCAGAGCTGGCCCTGGGCGAGAACAGCGAAGTGCTGAAAAGCGGCCGGGTAAGCAAGCAGACTCCAGTGTCATACAGGGTCTGTCATTAAATGTAATAATTTAGATACATTTGAGATAATTCAAACAATTTAAAACAAATAAGAAAAGAAACATCACTTTGTGCTTGGTGATGGTGTTGAGATGGCCACGCTTTTGCTAATATCTCTGCTTTAGCTAATAAATTGGCCCTACTTAAATAAAAGATTTCCTATAACACCAGTTCCAAAAAATATGGTAGTGACTTGATAGATTTGACACTGCTTTTCTGTTAGTTTCCATGTGCTTATGTTCATTTGACATTAAGTATGCTTTAGAAACTCCAAACTGTGCCTAGTTTTAGGCCTATACTTAGCTCCCACCCTCATGCCCTAAGCTTCCAGCTTAGATGGAGGAAGCAAGCAGGAAACAAGCCACAGGTAGGCTCTGGCAGCTGGGACCAGCCGGGCACTCTGCTGGTCCTTCACAGCCCTTCGCCCTTCCTGCTGCCTCCCTCCTCTCTGAGGTCCAGGGAGCATCACTGCAGCCATGATGGGGAGCACAAGTATCCCTTAGTGACCTCCTTCCGGCTCCCTGAGGGGTCCCTTCTTGTGGAAGAGAGGTGGCCCTAAAGGTCAGTGCACATAAGCTTTTTGCACACAGATTTCCGAATGCACCGTGGGGTACATGCAGGCTCACACTTGTAGTAGAGACTAGCATCAAGCATGTGGGCCACCAAACAGCTCACCTGACCCAACGGCTCATGTGCCTTATAGTTTACTTTCTTTTGAAACATATATGTTTCTCTAATGGATACATTTATATGTTTAAATTTTTTTTTCTGTTTAAGTCTGGGGAAAACACACAAAGTAGCAAAACTACGCCAACACTTCTCCCCTCCACACCCCTCCAAGGACAGAATAAATACATTTTATTTACAAGACTGGTCTAAGTCCACAGGTTAGTTCATTGACTCAGAGTAAAACGTATAACCTTGACCCAGTGGGCATGGAGCAATGACCATAAGTCATGGACAGGATATGGTTTGACTAATATCCATACAGTCAACCACCTGTTAACCCCTCGTGAAAACTTCTGGGGGTTTTTCTGTAACTTTTGCTTAGTCTGTGTACCTCTAGTCAATTGTTACCTAAGTATTCGACTGGCCTATCTAAAAATAACATCAGTTTGCCTTTTATAAACTGCTGTGCCTTTGTGAATCATTGGTATCAGATCTACAGTCAGGTGTTTATTTTTATCACGCCAAAGTTTGCAGAGACCAAGTTTGGCTAGAAAAGAGTTTGTTGGTTGGGTTCCTCCCGTTAATGCAGTGCCCGCCAGTCCAGAAAACAGGTTGGTGTTTTGTAGAGCCTTGCTTCTATGGTGCCTTAAAAAATAAAAATAAAATAAAAAAAAAAAAACACTGTGGTTTCCTACTCATCTCCTAACATGGACTGGTTTGAAGAAACAGACCTACTCAGGCATCTGTCCAAATGATTAACATTTCAGATTCTGAAAACTCATAAAAGGAGTCTCTTAGACAACCTTTGATATGTAGTAATGTTAGTCTAAGGTACTTTTCAAGGACCTTTGATGTTCAGAGTCACTCCATTTTGTATACTTCTACAATAATGTTTAAATGTGGTAACTGTTCTTAGTGTCTTTTTTCCCCCCACTGGGGAGGTGGGGGTTTTGTCCTGAAAGTCTCATATAACACGGGATGGTGCTACTAACAGGCTGTAAGGAATTAGCTTCTGCATCAGCAGGGCTGTCGGAAACTGAGGAGACCGCCCTTTGGGGAGCCAATGAGGAGAGTCCAGTCAGTCTGTGGCTTAGCAAATGGGGAAATGAAGCAGTGCCGCTCTCTCATTTCCTGGTGCTCATTTGGGGGTATCGTCAGCCTCTGTGTGCTTGGCCTCTGCTCTGTTGAGCTCAGGGAGTGGTGCCTCACTGACCTCGTGTCTCCCGCAGTATGTCACCGTGCAGACCATTTCTGGAACCGGGGCCCTAAGGATCGGAGCCAGCTTTCTGGTGAGTCTGGAAATTTCTTCAGCAAAGAGCTGTAGGATGACGGGGTTTTCTACCGCATGTGTGTTTGCTGACTCAGACGTAGACTTCCTGTCTCCACAACCTTGGAAGACTTCTCATTCCCTGATAAATGAACTCGGGGGTTAAAAATTAAAGTACTTAGAAGAAATCAGACATTATAATTATAGTAAGACAGTATAATAATAATGAATATAATTTATTGAGCACATCCTGTTACTAGAAGCTTTTATATTTTAACTCAGTTGATCTTTCTGAAGGAGGTTCAGTTAACACCATTTTACAGATGAAGAAAGTGAGGCCCTGGTAGGTGCTTGGCCACACGGCCGTGTAACTGTCAGAGCCTGGGTTTCCCCTGGGCAGTCTCGCTGCTTAGTCAGTACTGGCTCTCACTCAGGGAGAGGAGCTGTGTTTCAGGAGAGAAAAACGTCTTTTCCGTAAAATAGATCAACTTTTTTCACCTCCCCGTTCATCCGTTTTTCATTCCCTTTTATCCCATCTCTCAGCAAAGATTTTTCAAGTTCAGCCGAGATGTCTTTCTGCCCAAACCGACCTGGGGGAACCACACGCCCATCTTCAGGGACGCTGGCATGCAGCTGCAGGGCTACCGCTATTATGACCCCAAGACGTGCGGCTTTGACTTCACGGGCGCCATGGAGGACATTTCCGTAAGTGTGACTCGGGGGGG